TGGGATTACAGGCATGCGCCACCACGCCTGATTTGTCTGTATTTTCATCAAGTTGTCTTTTATTACTGCATTGTAAGAGTTCTTTATACACTCTGGGTAGAAGTTTACCCACCTTCCAGTCCTTAGCTTGTATTTCTTAAGTTTCAAACAACATAGTTTATTTATTTTGAGGTGGATGTCTATGTTTCCTATGCTGACCTCTAATTCCTGGCTTCAAGTAGTCCTCCTGCCTCAGCCTTCTGAGGAGCAAGGACAAAAGGCTATGCCACTGCATCTGGTTATCAAGGTCTGGCACATGCTAGGCGTATGCTTTACCACTGAGCTTCCATTCCTAGGGTTTTTTTTTTTTTTTTTTGGTGAGACAGGGTCTCTCTGTGTAGTGCAGACTGACCTTGAACTTGCTTATGTAGCTCAGGCTGGTCTCAAACTCATGACATCCTCCTGCCTCAGCTTCCTGAGTGCTGGGATTACAGGCATAGGCCACCATGCCTGGCCCTAGCTCTCTTTTTGTGTCCTAAGGTTTCCTTCCGGGCACCTTTCAGCTTCCATGTTTATGTTTACATTATACATTTTCCCCACATAAATACTTTCCCCAGAACTTTTTTTTCTTTTTTTTTTGGTTTTTCTCCGGTACCGGGTTTTTTTTCTTTTTGAGATAGGGTTTTGCTATGCAGTTCAGCTGGACTTGAACTCACTTTGTAGCCCAAGCTGGCCTTGAACTCACAGCAATCCTCCTGCCTGAGCCTCCCAAGTGCTTGGATTAGAGGCATGCACCACTGTTTGGCTTGTACAGAACTTTGTATTGAAAACTATCTTTTCTCCCATTAAATTATTCCCAACAGAAAATATAGGTGGGTCTAATCCTATTCCATTTATTTATACTATATGTCTGTCTTAGTTCAGATACTATCATTATGATTATTATGATTTTCCAGTTTGTCTTTTAAAAAGTGGCTTTGACTTTCTAGGTCCTTAAGTTATGAAACTTGTAAGTATGGTGTTATCTTCTCAGGGATTCTTTCTTTTAGCATTTTGTGCTTTTAGGAATATGGTTACTATCTCTGTAGTTATCTGAGAAATTATTTGATTTGTTCTAGAGCCTCATTCATCTGCTTTGTTACTTCCACTGTTACTCTTCAGAGTCCAGGTGGGTGGCCTTCAAAGTGTTCCACCTCACTGGCCCCTGGGTTGGCCTTTGGTGACCTAGAAGAATGGGGTTGCAGCTTGCTTAGGTGTGTTCTTTGTTTGTTTTTCTTTTTTTTTTTAAATTTAATTTCTGGGTTGGTGCTTATAAATTACTTATGGCAAGTAGCTTTATTGCTAATATTCAGAACCCTTAGGAAATTACTACTTCTCAGAGATGTCTTCCAGGTGTAGCTAGCTGGCTTTCAGTCTGTTGCAAGATCTTCAATTTACTGAGGCTGAGAAGTTGCTGCTTATTTGTTTTTTTTTTTTTTTTTTAGCTTTTCTCCGGTACCGGGAACCGAACTCACGACCTTGCGCTTGCCAGGCAGGCGCTTTGCCACTGAGCTAAATCCCCAGCCCCGTTGCTGCTTATTTGGTCTAGCCCCTGGTTCTTTGGCACTGGCCTATAGTGTTTTTTATAACCCTCAGGCAATCTCTGCCTTTGCATACTAGGAAGAACAACTAACTAGAAGAACAATTATGTCACCTTGGGAAAAGTTGTACAATCAGCAATAACAATAGCATCAAACAGCCTACAAAATGACAAACTGGGAAACTATTTTGCCAGCTCTAACCTTATGAACTGGATTTGTGGTTATAACAAAGTAAAAAGCTAGAGAATGGTATACATTAGATATGCCCTCAGTATGGTGATTTTACCCTTTGGGAGAAAATTTAAAAAGCATCAGGGGGGAAAAATAAACAGAAGAAAAGGAAGAGATTAGAAGCAAAGCTGAAGGACAAAGGAAGATTATGCAGAGTATGGGAAACTAGTGAAGAAGACATAAGGGAAAGAAAAGGAAGAAATAAAAACAAGAACAGAACAACAATAACAACAAACTAGAAACAATGTCCATGTTCATGTAAAAACAAAAACAATCAAGAAAAAATAAAAACAGGGCCAGGGATGTAGCTCAGCAGCATAAGCGCTTGCCTGGCAAGCTTGAGGTCATGAATTCAATTCTTTGGTACCAAAAAAAAAAAAAAAAAAAAAGAAAAACGACAAGAAAGGGCTGGGAGTGGTGGTGCGCGCCTGTAATCCCAGCACTTGGGAGGCTGAGGCAGGAGAATCGTTGTGAGTTCGAGACCAGCCTGGGCTACAAAGTGAGCTCAAGGCCAGCCTGAACTGCATAGCGAGACCCTGTCATCTCAAAAAATAAAAAAATAAAAAAAAAATTGAGACAGTCTTGCTAAGTTGCCCAGGCTGGGCTTGAACTTGTCATCCTCCAGCTTCAATCTCAGAGTTTTGGAATTACAGGCATGTGCCATCACACCCAGCTCACACTATTTTTTTGAATGCTAAAGCTACTATGCATTTCTAGAATAAACCTCACCTCAGTGTGATGTAATGCTATTATAGGTTGCCATTTTCAAAACAAATTTTCACATCCATGTACATGAAATTGACCCAATTTTTTCTTTTCATGTTCCTTCTGGCTTAGGTAATTGTGTTCTGTTGGTCTCATAATATGAACGAGGAAATGATTCTTTGGGTTACGTTTTATGTAAATTATATTTTTCTTACATGTTTGAAAGAATTTGTGCCACCTATGGCTGGACTTTGTTAAATTTCATCAGCTACAAATTCAACTTATTAGGGCTGAATTCTCTCCTTGGTACATGCCTTTTAAGGAATTTTTCTGGTACATCTAATTTGTGCATTTGCCATAAAGTTGGTAACATTTATTACTCTTCTAATATCTGTAGGATTCATAGTGATGTTTTTTCTTTCATTCCTGATATGGAGACTTTTATCAGTCCTTTCAAAGAGCCAGGTTTTGATTCCATTGAATTTTCTCAATTGTTTTTCCATTTTCCATTTCACTTTTAGTTCCTATTTTTCTTTCTCCTTGGTTTGTGCTAAATGTGCTTTTTAAAGGTTTTTTTTTTTTTTAGTTTCTTAAAGTGAGAGTTTAGACTTGAGTTCTTTTTATTGTCTTTTTGAGACAGGATCTCACTATCCAGTTCAGGCTGGCCTTGAGCTCACTTTGTAGCCCAGGCTGGCCTAGAACTCGCAATGATCCTCTGAGTTCTTTCTTACCTAAAATAAGCATATGCAGGGGGCATACATTATGCCTTGTTCTTTTTTGTTTTGAGGAGCCTTGTCATTGCCCAGGCTGGCTTCAAAACTCCTTGGCTCCTGTGGTCCTCCCACCTGCACCTCTACCTCCAAAGTGGCTAGGAGTACAAGTATGTACCATCACAGCCAGCTTGTGTCTCTCATTTTCTGAGATCCCACTTGCTGATGATCTTTCTCTTGATCTCTTTCTCGTTGTGGTTTTATAAATATAAAAACATTTTCCTAAGGGGCTGGGGATTTAGCTCAGCAGCACAGCGCCTGCCTGGCAAGCGCAAAGTCATGAGTTCAATTCCCAGTACCAGAAAAAACCCAAAAAAACCCCCAAAACCCCCCCCCCTAAAAGCAAAAAAACCACTTTCCTAGCATTTTATGTTGTCTTTAGGAATCAGACATGATTAACAAAAATCATTGTCTACCACTTCCTCTGCTTTAGTTTTTCAAGCCCCAACATGGTTTCTGCAGCGTCTGCTGATGAGGCTCCACATGCCCCTCTGCCAGCCTTTCCTAGCTCTGCCTGGAACTTACCTGTTAGCATCACCTTTCACAATCTCCTTTCAGTGCCAGCTTTATTGGTATCTACCTTGGGCATGTTGCTTTGGACCTTCCTTTGCTTTCAGCCTGGACGTACCCAAAAAGCTGGCTGCATTCACGAAAAATAACTGTTCCTGAAGGGTTACCCGTGGCAGCAGGGTGTGTGTCTGTGTGTGTGTGTGTGTGTGTGTGTGTACAAGACTTCAGTTAAAACAGTGTATAGGAGTCTATTACAAGAGTAACTCTTCTCCAGCTCTTTACTGTGGCCACAGACTGATGTACATGTTGGCATTAAACACTGGTGATTTTGATGTCCACTGTATCACCAACCTTTACCCCTCCCAGCTTAAAATGGATGTAATATATAATCAGAATTTAGGGCAGGGAACTCAAAGAAGATATGAAAAACACAAGGCACATCATCTGAAGAAAAACAAGAGTACCAATTCTGCACAAAATGTGAACAAAGGAAAACATGCCCTACCTGGACAAATAAATTATAAAGTTCTCGCAGTTAAAAATTCTAGGTGGATATATAGTTCTAATAACACCGGCTGAACTGAAATACAGACGTTCCACTCTATCCCACGTGAGGGACCAGAACACCCCCACCCACTGTGCAGCTTAACTAAGTGCTTGGCGCTTTGAATGAATGAATGACTTTTCAGTGAGGGCACATAGCTGACTGACTCTCATCTTTCTCCTTTGAGGAGTAGAAAGGTAAGAGATACATTAGAAACATGAAAGTCCTCACAGCATTAGAGACCTGATCCAGCCGCGTCACAGATCCGGGTCCTTCCTGTGCACGCGCTGGTGGATGTGCAGGTTGGAGCTTTGGCTAAAGCCCCTGCCACATTTGCTGCACTCGTAGGGCTTCTCCCCTGTGTGCACACGCTGGTGGATGAGGAGCTTGGAGCTCTGGCTGAAGCCCTTGCCACATTTGCCACAGTGGTAGGGCTTCTCCCCTGTGTGCACCCGGAGGTGGATGCGGAGATCTGAGCTCTGGCTGAAGCCCTTGCCGCACTCGTAGCACTGGTAGGGCTTCTCACCGGTATGGATACACCGGTGGATATGCAGGTTGGAGCTCTGGCTGAAGCCCTTGCCACATTCCCCGCATTTGTAGGGCCTCTCCCCAGTGTGCACCCGCTGGTGGATGTGCAGGTTGGAACGCTGGCTGAAGCTCATGCCGCACTCTCCGCACTCATAGGGCTTTTCCCCCGTGTGCACCCTCTGGTGGATGTGCAACTTGGAGCTCTGGCTGAAGCCCTTGCCGCATTTGTCACACTTATATGGCTTCTCGCCAGTGTGGACTGCATGATGGATGAGCAGGCTAGAGCTTCTAGTGAAGCCCTTGCCGCATTTGTCACACTTGTAGGGCTTCTCGTCAGTGTGGATGGCCTGGTGGACAAGCAGGCTGGAGCTCCTGGTGAAGCCCTTGCCACACTGCATGCATGTGTAGGGCTTCTCTTCCATGTGGCATCGCTGGTGCCGCAGGAGCTCTGACTTCTGACTGAAGTCTTTTCTGCACTGGTTACACTTGTGTGGCTTTTCTGCAGGGTGGATCTTTGTGTAGAGATCAGTATCTAGGCTGGTGTGCAGCAACTTCCCACCACAGTGACAGGACTTCTGCTCTGGGTGAGCTCTCTGGTGTCTGCAGCTGACCAGTCGTGACTTCCATCTTGAAATGTCTTTGCAGTTACGGACAAAGGGATCTGAAGATTCTTTCACTGGCCTACTCTGGCAAGTGGCTTCACCACCAACCAGTGGCGACGCTGGCTCCGTACTGTCGGACGTAAGTTTAACTTGCAGGTTTTCAGAACCCCGGGCCATGGTAGGCCTTTGCTCCCTCATCACCTGGCTCTTGGTGCTCTCTTCAGGTGCAAAGACACCTCCGCTCTCCCAAGGATCCTGGGGCTCATTCTTACACAGCTTCCCAGGGGAGTCTTGTGTGGCCATCTTGCTTGGGGCTGCCAAAGACAGGTAGTTTTCACTTTCAGTGTCTGCAAAGTCACTGAAGAATCACCAAACTGTTGTTGTTTCTGGAATATGACAAGATGCTTCTCCTCACTTCTGGGAGGGATCTAGCCCAGGACCCCTATGCTCTTCCCCTGAGTCACAATACAGTCTCCATTCCCAGGTGCTAACTGGCCACGATCTCTGAAATCAGCTGCAGGAAACTTGTGTGACAGGTCCGACTGTCCTTTGTCTCAAAGATGCCACAGAATTCTTTTGAGTCTCCTAGGAAACAAAGAGAGTTCAATGATAAGAACAAAGGGTGGATTTTAAGATTTCGGAACAGAAAGTTTGGTTTGTCCTAATAGTCATGTCCTTTGTGTTAACATAGGAGATGATGACCCAGGTTCAAAGGCACATGAACCGGGGATATAGCTCAGTGGCACAAGAATCCTGAGTTTGATTCACAGTACTACCCCACCACCAAAAAAAACAAAGACACATGATCCCACTCCACTTTTTTTTGGTACTGGGAATCGAACTCAAGATCTTGTGCTTGCCAGGCAGGCGCTTGTGCCGCTGAGCTATGTCCCCTGCCCCTCCCACTCCACTTTTAACCACAGCCAGTGAAGGATTCCTTTCCTAATCCTACAGAAGCCTGTGAATCCTGCAACCCTGACACTGGGGCTGAGTGCAGAGAGATGTCCCTCTGCAGTGGCCCTCACTGCCCACCATCAGGATTCTGAGCTGCTTCCCTGAGGACCAGTTGCTGAGGTGTCCTCTAAAATGACATACTCACTCCAAAGGTGTCAGCCTGGGAATGCAGGACTTTTGGAGAAACTTCAAGGTGGTAAATTAAAAATATATGTGAAGAAAAGGGGAGAGGGACTAATGAGAGGCACAGTTTCAAGAAACAGAAGAGGAAATAGAATTTTAAGAGTATACAATTAAGATCCCAGAGAAACTGGAGAGAATAACGCATTTAAATAAAATCTAATAAAGTACAGACACACTGCTACAAAAATAATCATAATTTTTCTAAACTAGTAAAGTGACTGAAATGATCTAAATTAATACGTAAGATGTAGACCCCAAGTGATACATGCTATAGGATGGCAAGGCCTCATCTGTTCCTGAGGGACCAAGGCTGAGGGCTGTCAGGCCTTGTCCAGGGCTGCAACCCAGACCAGTGGAAGGGTAAAATGCAGCTAGCCAGATAGGGCTCAGGGATTCCTCTGTAGCACAGCTTTAAAAGGTAGACATGGAAAAATGGAAGGCAGAAGCCCATTTCTTAGGAGAATGTTAGAACAGTAAAGTCAAGTGTAAGAAAATGATCAAAGAAATAACAAAAACAAGTGTTTCCCACAACTCGGGTCATAGGGCCCACGGAGTGATAAACCTGATGTGTAAAAAGACCCATGAGTGAGCATACCCTTGCTAAGCATGTACACTTCAAGAAAAACAAAAACCAATGATCTCTTTCCCATAAAACCCTAAAAGCATTCAGATAGGAAGACAGACTATGTACAGTTAAATGTGAATTACAGCCAGGCGCAGTGGCGCACACCTGTAACCCCAGCACTCGGGGAGGTTGAGGTTGGAGGATCATCGTTGTGAGTTTGAGACCAACCTGGGCTACAAGTGAGCTCAAGGCCAGCCTGAAGTGCATAGCGAGACCCAGTCTCTCTCTCTCTCTCTCTCTCTCTCTCTCTCTCTCTCTCTCTCTCTCACACACACACACACACACACACAAAAGTGCATTGCAGAGACACTGAACTCTGAGATGGCAATACAGGAGGCCTAATGATAATATAATGACAATGATATTTGCAAGTCTGAGGAAGAGTTATTGTGAAATTAGAATTCTATAGTCATTTTGATGGGAGAAAACAAGTAGATACTCTTTCAAATAAAGGATTTGATTTCTCAATCACTCAAATGAATTGTAGTATTTTTTTAAATTATAAAAATGATGCATGATGTAAGAGATAGCAGTAAACAAATATTTCAATAAAATACCTAATTAGGTTGAATCAATTACTGATGCATGAAATAAAAAATAATTAACCAAAACTCCACAGTATCAGTATGGAAAAAAAAATCCCACTCTAATAAGATATATTTTAAAGAGTAAGAGTTAGCTATGGGATGAGGGGATTCTAATCACAGTATACTACTTTCCAGGGACCCATTTTTACAGCATAAAAACAGTATCATCATTAATTACTGAAGGAGTGAACACAGGTTCTTGGGAGGATGGTTACCTTAGGGGAGGTAAAATAAAAATGCTGTATCTTCATTTATGACATGAGGAAGTCAACAGAAAATATCAAGTACTGGTAAATTAAGAAATGGCAGTACATCACAATACTATAAATTCAGATTGAACTGATACTGTAGCAGCATTTCCCACCTTTTACAGTACAAGCCCACATCTGAAGACAGGATACTGGTGAGCAGAGGGACGGACACACTGCCAGCACCTGGCAGAGTCATTCAGGCATGCACATGGTGTCTTGCTGGAGGAGACCTTCTCCAGGGCTGGGCAGGGCTGTGGCGTCATGTGCTGTGACCGCTTGTGGGACCACAGCAGTTAGGGGTATGGTTTTCATTGTGTACCTTCTCACACTTTTGAAAACCAGGTGTTATGATTTAGATCTAAAGTGGCCCCCAAAGCCTAACATTTAAACGGTGATTAGACTGGGGAGGCTGCACAGTTGCCTAACTGTTGGGAGGTGGGGCTGAGTTAGAGGAGAGTCACTGTGGGCATGGCCTTGAAGGGTGCATCTCCCTCAACTCCTCCCTGATCCTGTTTCCTGTCCACCATGCGCCTGTGCCATTATGTTCTGCTTTAGAACAAGCTAACTAGAAACCAAAACCTCTACAAACTGTGAGCCAAAATAAACCTCTCTGCCAGGCGTGGTGGCACACGCCAGTAATCCCAGCACTCAGGAGGCTGAGGCAGGAGGATTGTTCCAAGTTCCAGGCCAGCCTGGGCTACAAAGTGAGTTCAAGGCCAGCCGAAATGGTATAGTGAGACCTTGTGTCACACAGACAAAAAACTCAAAAAACCCAAATAAACCTCTCCTTCCTTAAGCTGTAAGTGTTGGGTATTGTGTCTCAGCAACAAAAAAAGTAAGATACCATGTGAATGCATGTGTGTGTGTGTGTGTGTGTGAATGTGTGTATGTGTGTAAGAGAGAGGGACAGAGAGAGAGAGAGCTGTATAAGCACTTTGTTAGAATGAAAAACAGGGTCACAACTGAGCACCTTTAGAAGCCTTGCTGTGGCCCCCGTGGCAGCAGAGCCTGGAGTGTTGTTTTGTTAGAAGCCTTTCCATGCAATCTGTACATGCATCCCATGTTTACAGATTTTAAAGTCATGGGAAGAAAAAACAAAAACAGAACAATAACAACAAAACAAACAAAAACAAAAAGCAAAAGAAAAAAGAAAAACTGCAAGCAGGGTGTGGTGGGGCATGCCTGTAATCCCAGCACTCAGGAGCCTGAGGCAGGAGGATCAGCACGAGTTCCGAGTTTGAGACCAGCCTGGGCTACAAAGCTCAAGGCCAGTCTGAACTGCATAGGGAGACTCTGTCTCAAAAAGGCAAAAAAAAAAAAACCAACAAAAAAAAAACCCCAAAACCAAACAAACCAAAAAAGCCTCTGCAGCTTGGAACAGTTAAATCATACGGTACACCAATATTAAATGGTGAAAAGACATTGTTTCAACACCCTTACTGTACAATACCTGGGATGGCAGGTGCAGAAACGACAGGTGCAGTAACTGCAATGGTGCAGAAAGTACAGGTGTATGAATCAACAGAAGAGAAATTTTACCAATGAAAAGTTTTTTATAAGCAGTAATAAAATTTTATGATATTAGTATTTAAACACTTAAAATAATATGAAGAGTGACTATGCAACATTAGGAAAACATTGACATTTAGAAAAGGTCATTTTATAGGGAGTTATGACAAATAAGCTAACACGTAAAACAGGAAACTAAAAAATACGATATCATGTCATAAAACTTTAATATATACACCACATGAACCTTAATTGAGATATGTCAAGTTGATTAAGAAACACCCAGGGAATTTGTAAAGCTCATTTCTAGCTGTGTCTGGGTGCACGTGTAGCCTTGGGGTCTGTTCTGGCCCTCACTCCTTCCTCTTTAGCCTGTTGCCCTGCTCTGCTTCTTGGCCACCATGAGCTAAGCATCTTTGCTCTGCTACACTCTACCACCATGATGTTCCTGCTTTGAGCCAACCATGGACTGAGTTTCTTGAAACCACCAGCCAAATTACACCTTTTCTCCTTTAAGTTGCAGGGGTCGGGATTGTGTGTCTCAGTGATAGGAAAGCTGCCGGATACTTAATACATAAATAGGGAGTACATAGAATAAATGGGATACACAAACTGTTGGGGATTTCATTTCACATATGCTTGTGTTGCTTGATTTGAGACTTTGTCTTACTGCATAAAACAAAAGTGTTGGACAACTATATACTATATATATATATATACACATACATATATACACATATATATATTTTTGTTGTTGTTGTTGTTTTTTGTTCTATTTTGTTTTGTTTTTTGAGACAAGGTCTTGCTGTGTGGTCCAGGCTGACCTCAAACTTGCAGCGATCTTTCTGCCTCAGCCTCCCAAGTGCTGGGATTACAGGCATGCACCACCATGCCTGGCTAACTATGTCCAATTTTCTATCAGTGAAGATGAAGACACATGGCAGCTCTTGGAGTTGGAAGCCCACACAGTCCTCCTGTGTCCTCTGTAAAACCACAGTAATACTAGGTCAGTGTGAGCACAACACTGCCCACTGTACTTAACATAAACTCTCATCACTGCCCTCGATGCCACGAGCACCCCGGCCCTGCCCACACTTCCCCCACCCTACCCTCAAGGAGGTGTTCTAGCCACACTCCCCCTTCTGGGTCTCTAGGCTTCTCCTTGCATGATTCCCTGCCTGAACAGCCATCTGTTTAAACCATTAATCCTTTAGCTCTCAGCCTAAATGTCGTATCAGAGGCCTCCCCAGACCTCTCCAAGACACACCATCACCTTTATCCCACCACACACCTCCATTCTCCCAGAGCAGCACTGTGAGGGCTGGGGATATAGCTCAGTGGCACAAGCGCCTGCCTGGCAAGCGCAAGGTCCTGAGTTTGATCTCCAGTATCACAAACAAACAAACAAAACAAAACAAAAAACCCAAAACATTATGGTCTCAAGATGCATATATTACAAAACAAAACAAAACAAAACAAAACAAAAAAAGCCGGGCGTGGTGGTGCATGCCTGTAATCTCAGCACTCGGGAGACTGAGACAGGAGGATCACTGTGAGTTTGAGACCAGCCTGGGCTACAAAGTGAGCTCAAGGCCAGCCTGAAGTGCATATCAAGACCCTGTCTCAAAAAGACAAAACCAAACAAAACAGAGCAGTGCTGTGTCCTTTGTGGGACCTGCCAGATTCATAGGAATATGCTGTGCTTGTGTAATGTTCCCCAACAAGACCCTAAGAAATATTTCTCACCTGCTCAACTCTGCTGCAGTCAGTTATTAAGTACTGACTATGACTACACAGCATTGAAAATAGTCCCATATCTCTTGGTCCCATGTTCATAGAGCCAAGCAATTGCATACTGAAAATACTTGACAAAAAAACTGTACCTGTATTGAATGCTTATAGACTTTCTGTTTTTGGTCATTAGTCTCTAACTAATATAACGGCATAATCACTTATATAGAATTTGCACTGCATTAGGTGTTATAAGTAACCTTGAGATGATTACAAGGTGTACATAGATGCTATGCCATTTGATATGAGAGACTTAAACGTTTTGGATTTTGGTGTCTGCAGAGGTCCTGGAGCCAAATGCCTACAGACAGTAAGCAGCAACAGTATCAGGTATGCTGCTTTCCCTCCTGGAACCTGGCTAGAAACAAGGAAAAAACCAGATTGGAGATTGAACGGTTAAAGAAAAGTATCCATGAAAATGTGTAACCAAGCCTACGAATGAGATAGAAAATACCAAGAAGGAGTCAATGGAAGGGGGGGGCGGTCAATGGTTTCACACAGGCAGTGGACTTCAAATAAAGTCTTAAAGGGCAAAATTAATCAGGAAGCAGAGTATGGGCAAAGGTTCTAGCCAAGGAAGCAAGAGGACACAGGAGAAGAGAAAAGGCTGGTAGGGAGGGTCAGCATCTTGGGTTAGACTCAGGACTGCTGCTCCTGGGTCAGACCAGGCACAAGAGCACTGAAAGCCAGTCCAGGAGTTCAGAGTCTCCACATGAGACATAACTCCAGCTTTATCCAGGGTCGTGTGAACAGTAACCTTAAAGAGAGGTAAGTCTACTTACCAGATCTAACTTGAGATCTGGAGATTCAAGTATTAAGTACACCCATTTCAGATGAGGTCTATGGCGGGCACAGCAGAGGGTGGAGAATGGGGATCTAACATGAACAAAGTGGTAGGGTGGGGAGGCTGTCATTTATAAGACCCTGCTACAGACTTTAGGAAACACCAAGAGTGGGCTGCATTAACCATCCTGACTTGATGAACACTAGTGGATACATGTACTGAAATATCATACTGTACCCTACAAATGTGCACTGTTAACACACACAATTTTTTTTTTTTTTTAACACAGGGTCTCCCTTTATAGTTCAGGCTGGCCTTGAATTCATGGCGACCCTCCTGCCTCTGCCTCGCGAGTGCTGGGATTATGTGCATGTGCCACCATGCCCTGTGTTAACATGAAATTTTAAAAAGCAATCAAGGAGATAGAAATGTTGACTACCCCGATTTTATCACACACTGTATACTGAATTATGTACTGAATTACCACACAGTACCCCATACATTTGTACAGTTAAACAGTGTCAAGTTAGGTGTGGTGGTGCACGCCTGTAATCCTAGCACTTGGGAGGCTGCGGCAGGAGATCCAGTAGGAGTTGAGGCCAGCGTGTACTACATAGTGAGTTCAAGGCACCCTGCACTACATGGCAAGACTCTGCCTCAAAAAAACCAAAAAAAAAAAAAAAGGCTTTTAACAGTGTTAATAAATTAAACAAAACTTAAAGAAATAAAAAAGAAAAAAAGATCTAGTGGCGGAGTGTGGCTCAGTGTTAGAACACATCAATGTGGCTGAGTTCAATCCCTGCCACAACAAGAAAAACAAAAATTGGTGTGAGATTTCCAGAGACTGAGTACTGGGAGAAAGAAACTTAATAATGATTCATTTATATCTAAACTATGGGACTGGAAGAACTTCAGTACTAATGAAAGGGAGAATGTGGGAAGTTAAAAAGGAAAACAATGTTGAAGTTTTCCACTGCACTGATTGCAAGTAGTCCAGGATATTCAGGGAGACAGGGACTCCACCAGGCACACACGGCAAAGCAGAGCTGTGACATCAGGAAAGTGGAGACCTGGCTATCAGAATGGAAAGGTGGCGGAACCTTCTGGAGGGCTGTGTATGAGGGCACACACGGCATGTTTTCTCCACAGATGACACTGACCCCACAGCCCGAGAAGGGTTCTCTAGGCAGAAGGGAGAAACCCACACATTACACTGGGTTGTGGTGAAAAGCACACCAGATGAAATCTTCCTCTTTAGTACATAATTTTTCTCAGAGGGAAGTTTAATTTAATGTCCCTTGGAGATGGCGATTTAAATAAAAGGCTGTGCCCACTGACTCACTATGACCAGATACACAGCGATCCAAGAGCAGCACGGGCTGGGTGTGGCCCCGGAGGGGAGCGCTGACCAGTGTGCATGAGGCCTGGCTTCATTCCCAGCACGGCAAAAACAACAAAACATAGCCCCTGGGATTTTCAAATTTATGAAGACTGAACTTCAGAATAAGTAAGAGAGAGGCCACAGGAAACAGGACAAGTACCTGGGCCCCAGCTACTTGAGGAGGCAAGAGGACCACTTGTGCCAGGAGTTGGGGTGATGCAGGGAGATGAAAACAGAAAACAAAACACAACTCAGGCTGCACTTTCTCGGGAAGGCTGCAGCTTCCAAATGAACAGCGCCAGCCCAGCACAGTGCAAGCCCTGCTTAGGCACAGCACACACAGGGACATGGGCCATCCCAACAGGGGCAGCAGCCCTCTGCAGAGCCTGCCTCCCCAGCTGGGCTGCAAGGATGCCTGGAACCCTGGTCACCAGCGAGGGAGGGCCAGGGCCCTGCTGGGACAAGGCAGGAGGCCCCAACGGCTACGACAGTGTGCTGTTCTTCAGTCATTTCTGCAGAAGGTCTTTCACCACAGAAAGGCAACTACATGGTTCAGCCAGGCACGCACGTGCTTATCCAACTTCCTACCTAGTGAAGTCTTTTTAAATTATTATTATCGTGCTATGGGGGATTGAACCTGGATCCTTCGCAATGAGCTCTAAATGCCTAAAGTGCAAATCATTTGACTAATCTTCCCTGGATTTAGGGACAAACTGATGTTTTCATCCCCCCCCCCCTTTTTTTCCTTTTTGAGACAGGGTCTCCCTATGCAGTTCAGGCTGGCCTTGAGCTCACTTTGTAGCCCAGGCTGGTCTCGAACTCGCAAAGATCCTTCCGCCTCAGCCTCCTGATTACAGGCATGTGCCACCATGCCCAGCAATTTTCACCATTTTAAATAACTCTAATAAGCCGGGCATAGTGGTGCACGCCTGTAATCCCCGCACTTGGGAAGCTGAGGTAGGAGGATTCCTGCAAATTTGAGGCCAGCCTGGGCTACAGTGTGTTCAAGGCCAGCCCAGACTACACAGTGAGACCCTGTCTCAACCAAATCAACCCAACTCTAATAGTCTTTGGCCACGATAATCAGGTGGAATGACTGATTAATTCCTCTAGACAGATACCTACAATTCAAGATGACATCTGAAAATGCTCTTTGATTCAGTGAGAAGTGTTTTCCAGAAAAAGTGTATCACCAATGACGCTACCAGTCCCTAGGTGAGACTACCAGTCCCTGGGTGAGAGCATCTTACCCCATGTTGCAACCATGTTTGGGAGGGTAGAAGGGAGGGAATCCCTGCATGTGTAAGGAAAGACACAAGGGAAGGCACACACCTCAAAGTAGGGACATACTATGGAAACAGAGCCAGCACAGGCGACATGAGAGGCTCAGAAAAGCGCAGTGAAGATCAACATGAGTCTTGAAGACACAGTCTCCTAAAGAGGCAGCCAGGGACTGGTAGGACTACAGCAGGTCGCACAGTCAGCAGGGAGCGCAACAACCACAGCCTCCCACAGGGCTTCCTTCTCCCAGGGGCCTGCCTGTCTGACCTGCAGCATGCTGTGCAGCGCATCATGGTCTCTGCTCAGAGAGCTTATCTCAGGCCCACATGGGGCCTGGCTGACTACAGAAAGCACAATGGGCCCCAAGCCCAGGCTCAGCAGGGGTGGACCAGGTCTGGGCTGGGCAACTACCCACTCTTCAGTTCTTAGCATGCCAGCAACAAGAAGAAACCAGGTAATTCGGGCTCTACTTGTTCTTACCGCCAAGTTCCTGCAGCCCCGCAGGGTCACAGCACCCTTCTGTTTCCTCTGGGCAGGGCCTGGGCACCCCTGCTCTTCCTCCATTGGGTCCACAGACACATCCTTGAGTGTTGCTGGTTCCTAGAACATGAAGCACATCCATCCTCAGCTGGAGGCAGGGAAGGCTAGCAGGCTGGGGAGGTGAGGGGCCACCAGGTCCCCCTGCAGGTTGGGGTCAGACAGCAAAGTTGGGCTATGCGGTGAGACCCTCCCTTCATAATATGGCCACTTCCATGCAAACCTGCAACCTGTGCCACTGTCCCCTGTGGCCCCATTCCCACCCTTGTCCTCATGACCTCACCACACTGCCATTTCTCAGTCTCCAGGTACCAAGGAGCCTTGCCTTTCCCAAGAGTGCAGCAGCCACAAGCAGGGAGTTTACTACTTGACTCCCATGTCCCCATCCCCAGGTCTCCTTGCCATCCCCACAGGACAGATCTGTACCCGCCTGTGCCTCCCTAACCACCAGCTCCCCCTGCACTGCCTCCTAACCGTCTCTACTAGCTTCAGCACCTCAGTGTCCCATGCAGCTGTCAGCTGGATGACCTTGGAGAGCACCTGCCAGGCCAGGCCTGTGATTTTCCAGGGCTCTTCAAGGGGCAGAGCACAACACAGACTCATCCTGTCCCGTGAGGGTCTGCAAACATGGTCCCTGTCCTTCCAAGTCTCAGCCACGGGTGTCCTCTGATGACACTTCGAGGCCTCAACCCACATCACACTCCTCAGCTCAGTGCCTGGGCGTCAGTACCCACTGCACCCCTGGGGCTTGCTCCATCTTTTCATGCCCAGTTCCTTCTCACCGGCTCTCAGCCTCATTGCTACTTTTTTTTTCTTTTTTGTCTTTTGGAGACAGGGTCTCGCTATGCAGTCCAGGCTGGCTTTGAGCTCACTTTGTAGCCCAGGCTGGTCTCCAACTCCCAACGATCCTCCTGCCTCAGCTTCTGAGTGCTGGGATTATAGGCGTGCACCACCACGTCCGCCTACTGCCTCCTTAGAGACAGGTCCCAGACCATGTAGCCCACTTGAGCACCTAGGAGCTGTCACCTCCTGGTTTCGTTTCTGTCTAACTTGGCCACCTTGCCTGTGCGTTTACTTTCTTATTTACAGTCTCCCCCAAAGTCATGTAATCCCCAAGACAGAGAAGTAAGTGATTTGGTCACTGTAAGCACAAGGTCAGGACTGCAAAGGGACAGGAGTCAGATACTGTGCTTATTCAGATCCTTCAATGTGCACAGCTCTCACCAGGGACCTGATGGGCAGGGAGGATCCAGGCTTTAACATTCACTCAACATCTGCACAGATCATGGGCTACACCCACCTGTGGGCCAGGCTTTGCAAAGCGAAGTGACAAGAGTATCTTGCAGACAACAGGGGCCAAATAAAGCCCAATGCCTAATCTTGGCCTCACAAGGCTGCTGTCCTGCACACTGGATCCTCTGAACAGCTTCTGCCCCAGATTGTGGAAGCAGTGTTCCTTCCTCAGGACTCAGGGCAGTGCCTGCCCTGCAGGAGACAGGATTCACCCAGAGGATCACCAGTGGAGAAGGCGACAGTAAGGAAGAGCAGTAGCTTTCTCCCAAGCTTCCAAGGTCAGTGTTTCAGTTTATATCAAGATGCCCCCCCAAGGGCCCTGTGTGCTCACAGTGGGGAGCTTTTAGAAGGTGACTGGATTATAGGGGTCCACAGCTGACTTCCTGTTAGGAGGTGGGGCATGGCCTGGAAGGCTTTATCTCCCTCCCTGGCTCCTTCCTTTTTTGCTCTGCCTCTTGGCTGCCTGAAATGAGCAACTCTCTTCCACCCAGGCCCCTCTGCCATGCCATCCTGCTTTGCAGCCAGCTGACTATGCTTAGCCCAGGAGCTTGAGGGCCTGTCGAGGTGACAGAGCAATACTCTGAGTCATTAAGGAAAAAATATTTCACCATGATATTTTATTCAAACATCTTCAGGTATGACAACCTGTTCAGCTATGGAGAAAGCACAGCCTGCACCTATAAAACATGGGGTTCACTTCTGGCTCTGCTGCTCTCTGCAACGAATGATGAGACCCTTCCCATCCCCCCAAGTCACAGTTCTTCACCATCAAACACTAGCAGCAGGGTGGGGAGGGGTTGGTGAACCCCTTCCACCAGATGCTCTATGATACTATGTGTCAGTCTTGAGGTGACTTTCTACAAATGCTTCTATGGAGACAAATGACAAAGTGTTTTGCTTTTTTTTAAACAAAGTGATATTTGGTAATTCAAAATTTATTGCATCAATTAAATATGTAGACACATTATTGGCGGGAGGAAGATCTGGTTAGGTAACCCATTTTAGTTACACCGACATCACGTATGCATAAGGGAATTTCTCAGTCAATCTTTGGGTGAGTGGGATAACAACGCAGGGAAAATCTCCCGTCTGGAGCAGGTAGCTAGGAAACTCAGAATTCTTAAAAACCACCACAGATGATTCTGACGCATAGACTGAAGAGCATTTCTAGGACTGACTGTGTAATGACTATGCTGCCGTTTAACTTTCTCATATTTTTCACTCTTCATGGTAAATGAATGATCACCATTAATTAACATGCATGCACTCTGTATACATGTAATGAATCCACTCATCAAGAGGATGAGTTCCTTAACGAAAAGCACCCAGTTAATAATTCTACTTGTTTTCCTGAAACACTCAGAATGATATCTGACATGCTACAGTTTCGATACGGAGCGTCCCGGAAAGGCTGTTCACAAGCTAAAGGCATGATTACTAGCCTTTGGAGGTGGTGGACGGAAGTTAGGTCACTGGGTGTGTGACCTCGAAGGTAACACGGGGATCCTAACCCCTTCGTCGAATTTGTGGCCACCATGAGGTGAACAGGCCTTCCCAAATGCTCCTCCTACCACAGCCCAAAGTGAGGAGGCCAAGAGCCATGGGCTGAAACCTCTGAAAGTGTGAGCCTAAATCAATCCTTTCTCCTTCAAAGCCGATTACCTCAGGTGCTTTGTCACCGACAGGGAAGACATATTGTGAAATGTCTGCAAAAAAATGCCAACTCTGAGGCGCCCAGGCAAAGGTGCTCTGTGGAATTTTTTGACAAAAGAACACAGCTGTGCACTCTGAGAAGCGGAGCAAAGTTATGGAGGTGCGGTGGATACCTGTGCGAAGCCCAGAGACATCATCTGCCAGCTCTTTGCCCTTAGTATTTAATGCCTCAGTACCTCGATGCCCATGTGTATGAAACTCCTATGTCTCACAGTGAGCTCTGACAACAATGAGGAAAACACACGGTACAGGAACAGGATCAGACATTAAACAGGCACGCAGTGATGATGCATACCTTCCTCCGGAGAAAGCAAGCTTATGTCTAGTGTCAGACACAAGGCATGTCAGGAGAAACCCCAGCTCACCTGGAACTTGATCATGTCCTCTGCTCAGGGAAGAGCAGATTCCTGGAAAGGCAGAGTTAGGAGGGGAAAAAAAAAGCCATGAAAACCAAGTCCACCTTGACTGTGGCAGTCAAGCTGGGCATGGTGGCGCAGGCCTGTAATCCCAGCACTTGGGAGGCTGAGGCAGGAGGATCGTTGAGAATTCGAGCCCAGCCTGGGCTACAAAGTGAGCTCAAGACCTGCCTAAACTGCACAGCGAGACCTCGTCTCAAAAAGACAACCCCCGCAAAACCAAAAAACAAAACCGGGAGTCAGTTCCTGCCCTGACTCCTTTTCCTCCCTTACCCCTCTCCGTGGGGCTTTGGATCAAACAGGGCGACTCTCCCTGGCAAATCCGAGGTGAATGAACCCGTGGGCTGCGAGCATTGCGGAGCTGCGCCAGTTCCTCAGGCTCCCGGTTCTGCCCTAGAGCTTGGGGGAGCTTTGCCCAGGTCTCCTCCCCGACCTTCTTCCCAAGCCCGTATCTTTCGGCAGCACAGGGCTCCGGGGCCCTGCGTTCCTCTCCGGGGTCTCCCTCCGTCCCTGACGTCCGCCGAAAACCGCCTCGGGACAATGCCGCGCAGGGCAGGGGCACTGGCGAGGGGAAGACCGGCAAGGCGCTGCGGCCTTACTCGCGTGGGTCTCACCCGTGACCGCGGTTCTGCGGAGGGGCTGGGAACACGGCGCGGACTGACGTGCGCCCGGCCGCGCTCCAGCACCGGGCCCTGCCAGGATGCCTCTCTCAGCTAACGCAGTCTGACCGGCTCCCTCGCGCCTGGAGCCCACACCTGGCCACCAGCACGCTGGACGCCCACTCTGCCCTCGCCTAGGGCCCCAAACTACAAATCCCAGAGAGCTGCGCGCGGGTGCACCCACTTCCGGCGACCCTCTCCGGAGACCATTTCCGGGCGGCGACCGGGACTTCCGTTTAGCCTAGGGACTTTTTAGTCAGTGTCTCGTAGTGTTATTTTAGGGCTACCCTTGAGGCGTTTGTCTGGTGTTAAAATACCACCAAGGAGAAGGTAATCTCGTTTTTACCTTTACAAATATGCAAAAATTAATATTTACCACCTGACATCATCCTGTCACCTTCAGAGTTCATTTTTTATCCGAACTGTTCAAAGCCTTAACCTCGTGGGGGCGCGAGGTTTTCTGAGGTAGGAGAAACACAAGTTTCGAGCCCAATTTAGCGTTTTAGCGGACCCTGTCTTAAAAAATAAAGGACTGCGTATGTAACTCAGTTCGAAGGTCATGGGCTCAATCCCCAGTATCCCAAAGAATAAAAAATCCCTCAAATCCCCTCCCTCGCCTCAGCCTCCCAAGTGCTGGGATTACAGGCAGGCGCCACCAAACCTAGCTCTGCAGTTATTTGGAGGAAATTAGAGCAAATGCAGAAGAGGAGGGGAGAGTCAACGTGATGCTCGGCATTAAAGAGTGGGGCCTTTGCGAGGTCATTGGGTCATGAGAACAGAACTTCATGGTGGTTTGAATGTATCCTCCAAAAAGCATCTATTGTAAACTTACTCCCCAGAGCAACTGTCAAGAGGGGGTCTTTGAGAGGTGATTAGGCCACAGTGTTCTGCCCTCCGGAATGGACTGATGCAGGTTGTTTTTTTTTTTTTTTTTTTTTTCTCCGGTACCAGGAACCGAACTCACGACGTTGTGCTTGCCAGGCAGGCGCTTTGCCGCTGAGCTAAATCCCCAGCCTCCTGATGCAGGTTGTAAAAGACTTGATCTCTTGCAGTCATTCTCTCCCTCTTCTCTCTTTCCCATTCTCTCCCTTCCTGTCATCTCCATTGCCATGGGATGACAAAGCCAGGCCTTCACCAGATGCTTGCACCTTGATGTTGTCTTGCCGACCTCCTAAACTGTAAGAAATAAATTCCTTCCCTTTGTAAATTACCAATCTGTGGTATTCTGTTAGAACAGCATGAAACAGTCTAAGGCACCTCACAAGTGGGTCTAGGGCTCATATAAAGAGGCCCAGGAGACCCCTTATCACTCAGACCGTGCAGAATACAGTGAAAGATAGCCATCTGTGCACCAGAAAGCAGGTGACCAGGAACCCTGTGAGGAGCACAGAACCTATAAGGAATGTGCCAAAACAGGTGTGATTGGACTGAGTGTCACTAAATCAGGAGTGTGTGCCTCACAGGGTGTGTGTGGACCAAGTTCTGTGGGCATGAGTGGCAGAGGGAGAGCAGGAGCCCTGAGCACACAGCAGGTGTGTGGTCTTCCCAGACTACCTGCCAGCGCCCTGACCCTGGCCCCTGGCCTCCAAAGCTATGAGATGGATTTCCGTCCTCAATAAGCCATCCAGGTTCTGGTGATGTGTTATAGTGGCCAAAGACACCTTTCTTGTAGTCATGTCTCATACTCAGCTTTTCACTCACATAACGCATCTGACTTAGTGACACTCAGTCCAATCACACCTCTATTTTGGCACGTTCCCTATATACTCTGTGCACCTCAGGGTTCCTGGTCACCTGAGGATGTAAGCTGGAGTGTGGCACACCCCAGTTTCCTAAGGAAGCCTCACTGTGCTGTTACTTGGGAGGTTGTGGGGGAGGGGCAGCACATGGAAGGAGAAACAAGTATTAGCTTTCCACTGCTGAGATGAATACCTGAGAAAAAGAACTTAAATGGAGGAAGGATTCATTCTGGCTCATGGATTCAGAGGTTTCAGTCCATGGTCACTTGGCCTGGTAGCTTTTGGGCCTGAGGTGAGACAGATCATCACGATGGAAACTTGTGGTGGAGGAAAGCTCTCCTATGAAAGAAGAGAGTAAGCTGGAGAGGCAGGGCTGGGGACAAGATATCATCCCCAAGGCTATGCCCCTGTGACATATGCCCTTAAGCCAGCCTCTCCTAATGGCCCATCTAGCTATGAACTCATCCATAGGCTAGTCTTTGTCCCCTTCCTCATCTGCGCTGCTTCTTGGTTGCCATGAATTGAGCAGCTTTACTTCACACCCCCCAATAAGCTTCCACCATGTTTCTGCCTTGTAACAGGACAATCATGAACTGATAGCTCTGAAACTGTGAGCCAGATATACCATTTCCAACTTCAAGTTGCAGATGTTAGGTATTTGGCTTCTGCAGTGGGAAAGCTAAAAAATGGTCATATCAAATCGTACCAGGAAAACCAGGCATAAGAGCTTATCAGACACATCAGATACAACCTCCTCACCTGAGACCCATAAAAGAAGAGCAGCTCACACTGCAGGTATGGTGCATCAACCCCATCACTTGGTCACTTACCATGAAACTTACCCAGGAAAATGGACAGGCAGAGAAGCTCCATTCTTGGGGCTCCAGCTCAGCAGTTTCTCTTGTTTGTGACATACACACTACCTGCTACAGGCTGACACTCTGAAATTGCCTGTTGATGGAACCCACGTGCTTTGAACAACTTTGAGGCCACCTGCAGTGACTTTTACATCTGTATTAGCTGTTTTTGGACTCCCCTACAGCACCCCTTTAAACCTTGTGGGTGCTATTACCCTTTCTTAGCCATTCTATAGCCCATATGTTACTATGTGAAGTGTAATGTATGGCTTGAATATTATAGATTAATGATTAAAATTGGAATAGAATAAAAGAACTTGTGACTGTTCTGCTTATGTCTACCAAGTGAAATCAAGAGTACTCAGTGGGTTAAAGCTGAAGAAATTGATGTAGCTTGTGACTGTTACAGAAATGACCATATGCTTACTTTGCACTATGTGCTTGAGAAAGTTGCCTTTTAGGGGACCTTCGCATGCATTTATTGTGTGCCCCTAGACCCTATGACTCTTAGCTTACCCCATAAACATGCTGAGACCCTGATTAGCCTAGATTACACCAATCAGTGAAGCAGTTATTTTTAAGGACCAGTTTATCCCTGTAAGTATGAACATGGGGAAGTTTTCCCTGCCTTCTAGTGTTTTACCTGGCAGTTTTCCCTGTATTTCTGTTACTATAAATAAACCTTTGCTTCCCACTTTCATTTCTGTTTTCCTCATCTCCGCCAGACCTGATTTCCCTGTTTCTTCCCAGAGGCTTTCGGCTTTGAGCTAGCCTCTCCTTTCTTCATTCTTCGCTAGATTGAGGGCAAGGAGCTGGATAAATGGAGCGTCTTTTCACGGGAGACCCCAGCTCCTCAGACCCCCATCTGACACTACATACCCATACAGTTATAGTGAAAATTCAGAGATGATGTATATTTAGGACTTGACATGGTATCTATTACATGTTAAGTTGGTATTGTTATTTTGGAAAGCATTTAACGTTTTTTTCTTTTTAAAATATTCTGCCTCAGAGCCAGCCTATTCCCCCGATAAATTCTAGGAGAAAGCTCATATCATTGCCATGCCTTTCAGTTTCTGTTTTTTTGAACACTTCTTTGTGTTGGGCAGTTTTAGGCTCGGCAGACAACACTGAGTCAAGTGGTCTCCACCCTCCTGAAGCTCACGTCAGAAAGGATACCGACAATGCATACCTGACCAGTACTGAGGAAGCTTGTGAAGAAAATAAAGTGTGAGTTGCCAGATAGATGGTGGTAGAGGATAGGATCGAGAAAGAAGACCTTGATGAGGCAACAAAGATGTCTGCACTGAGAGATGAGGTCCATTGAAGAAGATTTAAATGTTGGGGGACACCAAGGTGGGTGGTGTGGCCTGGAAGGAGGGAGGGGTCACGACTTTCCCCTCATTCCTCCTGGTTTTCCAGCTTTCTCATTCCATGAACAGAGTGTGGACTATCGGAAGCTGGCCTTGAGTCCCTTTTTTTCTCTGGCAAAGCCATTCTGGTTTAGGCCTTGGTTAAGGGTGTAAACAGTGGCTCTGGGATGAATAGAGTTGGGTTAGCTTTGCAGGGTAGTGACATTTGGGGATGTGGTATGGTTTTACCTAGATGGAGTGCAGACATTTGGGTGCTGCACAGCAGGCCTTGTACAGGGATGTGATACCGGAAAACTATGGAGCTTTGGTTTCTGTGGGTAAATATGACATTTTTTTTAGACTCTGAGTTGGTCTAACAGACAACTTTCTGTTCCATAGGGTGCATGGTTTGTGATAATTAAAAATCTTAAATGATTATTATTATTATTTTTGAGACAGGGTCTCACTATGTAGTTCAGTCTGGCCATGACCTCACTATGTAGCCCACACTGGCCTTGAACTCACAGCAATCCTCCTGCCCTAGCCACCCAAAACCTGCGATTACAGGCATGCACCATGCCTGGCTTAAATTATTCTTTTTTAATCATGGGTTTAGAGGCTGTTTATGATCCTTCCACCCCTCAGAAATGTTAGAGTATATGAAATTTAAGAGGGCAGCTTTGCTGTGTGTGCTAATTCAGGTCTTTAGCTTCTGCATGTCTGAACTTACCTGCCTTCAAAAACAGGAGTCTCTTACCTACAATAAGAAACTTTTTTTTGTTTTGTTTTTTTGAGACAGGGTCTCATTATATAGTTCAGCCTTGCCTTGAAAGGTGGACCCGATTTTGTAACTGACAGCCTACCTCCACTTGTACTACTGTAAAATCATGATATCTTGGTCTACCCTGTAGGCCTACCTGGTCATCCACATCCCTGCAGAACCTCCAGGTGATACTCAGGTCTGCGTGACTCCTTTGCTTATAACCACAGTCAGTTTCCTTTTATTTTGTATTCACAGGGCTTCTGTCTTCCAAACCCAAACAATCTCCCAGCGAGAGCAAGGGGTTGAGCTCTGTGTGGAGGTGTGACAGTCTGGCCAGCCCCTTGGGAAGGTGAGTGAGGCTGGAACCTTTCCAGCAGCTCTACAGATGGGACACCACAGAGCTGGTGCTTGGGCAGAACATGCACTTCAAAGAGCCCATCTGGACTCTGGTTGCCTCTTTAAAAGTTTTTTTTGTTGGGAGGTGCTGGGGGAGGTGAGGCTAGGGCATCTCATATGCCCATACTTTCCTTTCTAGGTTCATCCTCATGCCAAACAACTTCTCTTTGCTTTTCATTCTTTTCTCTCCTATGGACCACTGCTCCCTTCAATCAGGCCAGGCCATGGGGCTGGGGATTTAGCTCAGTGGCAAAAGCACCTGCCTGGCAAGCGCAAGGTCGTGAGTTCGGTTCCCGGTACCAGAGAAAAACACACACACACACACACAAAAAAAAAAAAAAAAAAAGAAAAAAAAATCAGGCCAGGCCCAAGACTGCTATGAAATCCTCACTCTGGATTTTTGGTTGTTATTTTGGTGCTGGGGGTTGAAGCCAGGCCTTGTGGATTCTAAGTACGCACTCTGCTACTGAGCTATGCCACAGCACAGTCTCTTTAGTTTTATCAGGCTGTCCTTTCTTCTTACCTTCTGTCCATTCTTGATTCTTTCCAAATTCTCTCATGTTTGCTTGTTAAGTGGCTATAAACTACGTTGTAATGGCAGTAACAGACCCCAAATATAAGCATAGCTTCCTATCGGGTAATTGCTATTTTTGGCAAACAAAAACTGATGGGAAAGCATTTTCTTCCCTTTTCTCTTTTTTTTTTTTTTTTTGTGGTGCTGGTGACAGAACACAGGGCTGCAATGATGCTAGCCAAGTGCTCACCAGTGAGCTACCGCCCAGCTCCTCATGTATATTGTTTTTCTTCTCTGTACCTCTTTGCTCTTAGCTGTTATTTTTTCTGTGAATACTGTGCAACATCAATACATCAGTTCCTCAGTATTGAAATTCCTTTCTAAATCTTTAAGCATTAATATTTCTATCACCTAATATATCTCTAGTGCCAATATTTTCTAAACTCTATTAGTTTGCCTACATCATTTTCAGGGAACTTTATAAGTGTATTTCACAGAAAATATCAGAGATAAATAATCCTGCTTTACAGGAGGTGAAAGGATGTTTTTGAATTTTTTGTATGTAATTTCTTCGTACTTTGTTTAAATCCCCCCATATTCTTGTATACATTCTTTATAGAATAACACTAGTAACACAGTATTTTTTGTTTTGTGTCTTTTTTAATTTTTAAAAACTTTGTTATTTGCGATGTTTACAACTTAGATGTAATAGAAACTGGTGTTTCCTCTGATTCCTTTTATCCATTTATTTTTTTCCTTTTATCCATTTAGAGGATAATAAATGTTTCCACAAGCACTTTACAACCATTTAGTGGTTTATGATATTTTTCTTTTCTGTGTATTTCCCTCTATTTGTTCATTTTTATAAATGCTTATGGTATAAAATTCAGATAGTTCAGATAGACCCATGCTGTGCAGTCTCCTTCATAATCCTTTCTAATCAGTTTCTCTCCCCAGAGGCATTCTGTATAAGGTTCTTGTGGAAATTTCCAGATAAGAAGTATGCTTTGTACAAGTATGTATGTGTTCATTTTTTAAAAGTACACACTAGCACACTATTCTACATCTTACTTTTGTCACTCATATTTTGGAAATCTTTTCATATCGCTAGAGCTGTCATTTTCTTTTTAGTGCAAGAATACTGGCACACTTACTTATGGAATTGTAAATTAGCAATATACTTGGTGGTGAGAAACATAATTTATACCAAGGTACTTTTGACTATACTTTGCATGTGCAGTGTATACCAACTTTGATCCCTTAATATTTCTGCCTATTAAAAGTTAGTAAAAGCCAGGCATGGTGGTACATACCTGTGATCCCAGAACTTGGGAGTACACAGGTAGGAGGACTGTAAGGCCAGTCTGGACTACATAGCAAGACCCTGTCCTGAACCAAACCAGAAGTAAAGATGATCTTTACAGTATTGTAGTAATGAAAAGTTGTAGTAATTGTGATGTCCATAAGAGAGCAATAGTCAAATTAAGATACATGCTTTCCGGGCTAGAGATGTACCTCAGCGGCATAGTGCCTGCCTGGTAAGTGTGAGGCTCTGAGTTTGATTCCTGGTACCAAGCACCCCCCACCCCTGCAAGCCCTTTAAAAAAACTCTTTGAAAAGGTATATGCTTTCCTTGTTATTTAATAATTAATTAAAAGGCAGTTCTTAAATCAGTTACTATTTGATAAGTTAGACGTGTATGAACTGACAGAAAGATGTCTAGAACATTGTTAAAAAAGCTGAATCATGAAATAATAGTATAATACCCTCCCTAGGTAGTTTAGGTATTGCTTAGATCTTTTATGATAGAAGTATATCAAGGATAGAGCTTAAAATATAAAAGAAATTAATAGAATGGTATAAAACAGAAGGAAAGGAACACATTTGTTCTAGCAGCCCTCAGAAATGAATGTACTTGGGTTACCCTGAAGGACTCCAATCCTTGTATATTCCCTTCCCCGAGTGTGTGTAGAACTTGAGACTTGCTTCCAACTGTGTATAGAGTATGGCAAACATGATCAAATGTCACTGCTATGATTAAGCCACTTTTTTTTTGGTACCAGGAATCAAACTCAGGACCTTGCAATTGCCAGGCGGGCGCTTTTGCTGCTGAGCTATATCCCCAGCCCGATTAAGCCACCTGTATCTGTGTTCTTAGTAGACCGTAAAGATAAGTTGAGTTTGTTGACTTAGAAAACTTCCAGGCACCCAAGAAAATCTTCAGCCAAGAACCAGGAATAAGCTGGGACCTTCAATACTACAAAGAAATGTATTCTGCCACCACCTGAATGGGCTTAGGAAAGGATCTTCTTTATCCAGAGTCCAGAGAGGAATATGGCTTGGTTGACAATTAGGAGTCAAGAGTTCAGCGGGGCTGAAGTAATAATGAAATTCTCTTGGGCTGGATGTCTGCAGTGATTGGATTCCACAGCTTGGAGTTCATGCCAGCTCTTTTGGGAGCTCAGCTGAATCTGCCAACTAGCATGCTTATATGCAGTTTGCATGCTATAATGGTTTCAGGATAGTTGGGTTTTTTACATGTTGGCAGATTTCTCCTATGGCAAGTATCCCAGGAGACCCAGGCAAGCTTTTCAGACCTATCCTTGGAAGTCACGTAGTATCACTTCTGTTGTTTCTATTGTTTGAAGCCTGTCCAGATCAAGGTTGACTGTCTTTTCATGGGTACCAGAGAATGAGTAGTATTTTAAAATTGCCTCATACTTCTTAAAAGTACACATTACATATAATAAACATACAGATCTTAAGTGTGAATTCAGTTGTACAGACTCATGAGTCTATCACCTTAAGGATACATTTTTTTACTCTATAAAAAGTTCTGTGTCTCTTTAAGTCAATACTTAAATTATTCCTTTTCTGTGTAGTTTATAAGAATGAAATTACACACAATGTGTGTATGCATGTATGTTTGTGTGAATGTACTTAAATTCTCAAAATATGGCTTTGACATACATATATGTTAAACGTATCAGTTGTTTACTTTTTTCCCTTGTGGATTGAACCTAGGGGTGCTATACCACTGAGCTACATCCATCATGAACCCTTTTTATTTTTTGAGATAGTGTCTAAATGCCCCAAGTTGGCTTTGAACTTGAGCTCCTACTCCAGCCTCCTGAGTAACTGGGATTATAGAAGTGTGCCACTGTGCCTGGGTACTGGTTTGCTTTTTATTGGTAGTGTATTCATTGTATGTCTATAATTTATTTACTTCTCATCTCTTGTTGGGGCCTTAAGTTATTTCCAGTGTGGCTATTATGAATGAAGATATTAAGAACATTTTGTGTATCTTCTAATGTTACCAGAGTATCTTTGATAGTACTATTTCCTTACTAATCAAATCCATAGTGTTTCAGTGCCCAAAGACTTTTGATGTAAATTTCCTCTCCAGATGACAAAGATTTGGTATCTTCAACTTTAAAAAAAAAATGTGGTAGTAGGGATTAATTTCAGGGCCTTTGTAGTGAACTATATCCCTATCCACCCCCGCTCCCTTTTTTTAAAATTTTGGGACAGTGTCTTGCTAAACTGGTAAGCTGCTCAAGCCAGGCTCAAACTTGTGATCCTCCTGTTTCAGCCTCCCATGTCATGAGCTTTGGGGATTAAGGAACCTACAGTTTATAGGAGTTATTAAAAAACCACACTGTATACTTCATTGTTCATCATTTTACTTCTATAAATGCTCAGCGTGAAAAGTTATAGAGAAGGAAGAAATGGAAATTTCCCTACAAAACCAACTTTTCTTCAACTTTAAGTCTCATCCCCTAGAGGTTAAAAAAGTTAAGTTTATTCTGTGGAGGAAGAAGACAGCATTGTTATAGAACTTCAGGGGTTTGGGATTTAAAAAAAATTGCACAGATAGCAGTTGTCTGCTCTTTGGGTAGAGGCAAATTATCTTTATCCCAGTTAAGAATGGAGGACTGAAAAAAAATCTTAAACTACAAATCCCAAACCTTTGCAGGCTTGGAAAGGAAACTTGTATAAGAAAAGGTTAGGGCCTCTGCTACGAACAGGAGTGGTTTAGCATAAGTTACTGGGGTAATGATTTGTTATCTAGATAATGAAAAGTTCAGTAAGAGGATTATTAAAGTTATTAAATTTCCCCCCTACTTTTTGCTCACTGATCGTGAATGTAAAACAAGATTAATATGAATATGTAGGGAAGTAAAGGACCTTAGGATTAACAAGAGGCCAATTACTTTTAAAGGCTGATGGCATCAACTACAAATTTAAAATCTGTATCTGCTATATTCAGAATAATCTTTAGAGTGGCACTAGATTAATGAGGGTACCTTGAGAAATAAGGTCAAAACAAATTGACAGAAATTATGAAAAATACATAATGATAAACAAGACATTTATTTTCATATTTATCTGGGGGAAAGGAAAAGTTTATCCTACCCAGCACTGGTCTTTGTAGAAGATTCTCCATTCATTCCATGCCACTGGATAGGCTATATGATTGCAGAGGGTTTTGCACTCTTAATTCTTAAAGAGAACTTCTTTTAATCCATACAGAGAACTTCCTGTGAAGAAAGTCAAAGAGTGAGCCTCTGTGAGCAGCTTCGCTGGTGCACGGCCAGACTCCCTCTCTGAGTAAAGCTTTTTCCACACTGGCTGCACAGGTAGGGGGCCTCTCCTGTGTGGACTTTGCCATGCAGAACACAATTCCCTCTGGTGTGGAAGCTTTTCCTACACTGGGCACAGGCGTAGGGCTTCAAGCCTGTGTGTACCCGGATGTGAACAATTAAGCTACCTTTCTGACTGAAGGCTTTCCCACACTGGTCACATCTGTAGGGCTTTTCACCGCTGTGAACTCTTCGATGAACAGCAAGGTTACTTTGATTCCTGAAGCTTCTCTGGCAAATGGCACACTCATAGGGTTTCTGTCCAGTGTGAAGTCTCTCATGGACAGCCAGACTACCTCGCTGACTAAAGCTTTTCCCACACTCTTTGCACTGATAAGGCTTCTCTCCTGTGTGTACTCGCTGGTGTGTAACAAGATTGCCTTTGGCACGGAAGCTTTTTCCACAGTGGGTACACTCAAAGGGCTTTTGACCAGTGTGGATTCTCTCGTGTAATGTCAGGCTACCTTTTTGCCGGAAGGACTTGCCACAGTCCTGGCACTCATAAACCTTATGTCTCACTCCAGGTGAATCTTCCTGGAGTGTCTTAGAATCTGGGGACTTCTGTTCCAGCTTCTCTCTTCTGAAAGCATTCTGGAAATCCCAGCTGGAGGATCCTGTGGCTTCAGAGTGATCATATTTGTGGTGGGCTTCTGTCATCACATCTGGTAAAATGAGAGGGAAGTCATGTACGATGTACCAATGTACTGAGTGAGAACAGGAAAAACAGAAACACAATGCTTAGTGCTTACTGTGTGGTAGGCATTAAACTAAACTTTGCTAGATAATTTAATCCTGAAAGCAATCTAATGAGATTGCTACAGATAAGGAAATGAGAACATAAGGAAGGTGTCAAAGGTCACAACCTTATATAAATTAGAGTTGTGATTCAGACACCGGTGAGCTCCATAGCCATGTATTATCTCCAAATTAAATATAGCCTCCAAAATCATCTTTTGAGGTAGGTATGATTATTTCTATAGGAAAGAAAAGAGGCTCAGAAAATGAAGGAAACTATACAGCATCACCATAGGCTTATGCTCAGATTTTATCTGACTCCCAAGCAGGTGTGGATACAGGATACATAAGGCCTAAAGCTATAAAACTTTTAGAGGAACCCCTTTTAAAAAAATGTAAAAGAGAAAATCCTCAAAGAGACCAATACCAGTAAGGGGTCCAGAGGCTTGAGTTACATCAGCTTCCTGAGAAATCTACTTACTCCAGTCTGTTCTCTTGCCAGTGGAATAAACTTTATAACCTCAGAAAGTATGAAGCAGAATCCTGGGTTTTTTTTTTTTTTTTGGCTTCAATCTTTTTTATTTTGTTTTTTGAGACAGGGTCTCATTATGCAGTTCAGGCTGGCCTTGAGCTCACTTTGTGGCCCAGGCTCCCCTCAAACTCACAATGATCCTCCTGCCTCAGCCTCCTGAGTGCTGGGATTACAGGCATGAGCCACCATGCCCGGCCTTTTCTTGTCCATCTCCCCTCCACCTGTACCGGGGATTGAACTCACAACCTTGCGCTTGCCAGGCAGGCGCCGTGACACTGAGCTAAATCCCCAGCCCCTCTGGGTATTTTTTTTTTATCTATCATCTCTAATCTGCAATCCTACAAATTTATTGTCCCATTCTATAGATGAGCAGCCTAGAGCTTAAGGAAGTTAAGTAACTTATCTGATATTGCAAATCTACTCAGGGCAATTAGAGAATCTGATCAAAGGAATTTTTTCTTTTAAAATCCATGCTATTTTCAATCTATTCAGCTAGAGTGGAACTGAAATCAACTTTGGCATCACAGTATTTCTTAAACACTTTCTTTGTATGGATTTTTTTTTCTTATAGTATTAGGGATTAAACCTAGGGCTTTTGCATTGAGCAACATCTATAGCCTTTAAAAAATTGTTATTTTAATTTAAATTTTTAATTTTAAGATAGGGTCTTGCTAAATCACTAAGTTGTCCTGACTGGGTCTGAACTTATAGTACTCCTGTGTTAGTTTCCCAAAGTGCTGGGATTAAGGCATGCATCACTGTCAACCCTCATTTGCAGATATCGACAGTATTTTCCAATATTGGCCTGTATCTGCGACTCCTAGTGTGTTTTAAATATGGTTCCATTTACCACTATACCAGTTTTCTTTGTGTCATCCTTGGGAAGATTTTTCCTTGTCCCGTACCTTATCCTTGTTCAGTGATGGTGCTGAGTTAAAGCTGCCCATTCATTCTGTCCATCTCAAGACTACCTCTGCATCAAGATTCTTCCCTTGCTTTGTTCTGACTGTTATTTCTAACTTTATCTTGTAGGTTTTTTCTGTGACCCCAAGGAACAGGGAACACCACTAAAAGAGTATCTCTTCTGCATCCTGAGACTGAGTCAGTGCTAACGGCAGGGACCCTGAGTATCTGAGAGCTGAGGGCATGCCAATGACCAGCTGACTCACTCACTGAAAAATGCTACATTCTGGGCATATCTCCCATGACAGTCCAGCAGGGTAGCTGTTGGGAATCCAAACATGTCCACTCCTTGTCTGAGACCTTAATCACCACCTCTTCAGATGATTCTTCCATGGGCTATTCTTGAGCACCTGGGGGCAAGGGACAAACAACAAAATAACAAAAACAAGAAAGGGCAGAATTGATAAGTGAGGATACATTTAACAGAAGCTCTAGTTTGGGGTGTGGGTGGAAACAGGAAATCTGGATTGCTTGATGTAATATCAGTTACCTAACATGTCTCTGCATAAAGGGCTCAAAGATAGGATAACACAGGAATGAATCCAGAAGGAAAGAGAAGGTGGGAAACCATGAACATATAAACATGCATTTGTTCCTGCTGACCCCATTAATGGTCACTCCTGTTTGTCTTTGCTCTTGGCATGAAAGTTGGATCTTTCATTTCCTATTTAACTGTTCATTGCCTTTTATTTTTGCCTCCAAGCTCTAAGGAATTCATAATCTAAAAAGCCAGATTTCAAGCTTCATGATTGGTTCCATGGTGGAGTAACCCCAGCTCTTTTCCAGTTCCCCTAGGTTATGAAGCCCATGCAAGGACCTTTTAATGATTCTTAGGCAGCTCTAAACCTAGACCCATCCCTCTCCTCCTCCTGTTATTTTTTCCCTTTAAAATATTTCTTACTTTGGGGCCCTTGTTACTGAATTCTCACACTGTTTATGCAGCGGTTCAGTGCATGGTCTTTGTTACCTCTAGTATATCCCACCAAAATGCTGGACAACTGATTTAAGGAATTAGCACTATAGTGGTACAATTCTTTGTTAACTAAGTACCTGACTCTTCTTGACAACTATAGGTTCAGCTATATGTTGTGGTGACCAAGAGCTCTTTTCCAAGGTTTCACTTCCAATGTAAAACACAAGCTACTAAAGAGGCCTCTGTTGGCGTGCTGGCACACTTGCTTGGAAGTTCACAGTATTACTGATCAACAACTGCACATCCAGACAGTGGAAATGTACAGTAGATGGTACGTGTTGCCTGGGGCTTGACTCTTGTCACCAGGGATTCCAGAAAATAGGGTTTAGTTTGAATGAGTAGAACCTATAGCTCTACCTCTCTACCTGCTGTGAGATCTCCAACAGGAAACGTTGAGCATCCTCTGGAGCCTCTTTGATTAAAAAGGGGAACTTGTCAAGGTGTTCTACCTTGATCACAGGTATGAGGAATCAAATTCTGGAAGATCTTGGAGACTGTGGTTTTTTAATAGAAAACATTGCTTTCCCTATCAGAAATGCTATTTTATCCTCTGGAGAAAGCTCAGAATGAGGTCCTGGATGCCCGTTTGGCTCCCCCAGTGTGTGACCAAGTGACCACACCACCCTGTCTCTGCCTCCTTACTGAAAAGGTTGACATCCCTGTCTTACCAGGTAGTTCCCGGGAGAGTACAAGACCCAAAGGTGAGGGGTCTATGACACGGCCTGCAGATTTGAGTCCCCAGAATGGCTGGGCTGGAGCGGGGCACCCTTCGCGCGTGAAGAAATTCTTGGGGATGGCTCCAGGGATCAGTAGCTTCCGGGCGGGCTGATTCTCCCCACCCCCGGCTTCCCGCACTAGGGAGGTCTCCTCACCTCCCCAAGGGCTGCCCTGCCTGTTCCCGCGCCTCTTCTGCAGGTGGCGGGGCCTTCCGCTCGCTCTGCCCAGCCACACACGGTCCGGGCGGATCGCTCCTTCCGCCGAACCCAACGCGTCTCGGGTCCAGGACTCAGGTCCCGATCTCTGGCCCAGGGAACCTCGTCTGCGGGCTGTCCTCTCCCCGCTGGCCTGGGCAGGCCTGGCCTGCTCGAGTCCGCGTAGAGGGCGTGGGGCGGTGGCTTGACGGAGGCAGTCCCGCCTTGTCAGGGGCGCGGACCCGCCACGGCCTCACTCACCGCAGCGGCACTCACCCGCAGATAGACAAAGCCGGCGCCCAGCCCGCAGCGCAGGGGCGCGCGGCCGACCACAGCTCCCAGGAACCCCTGCGTGGCGGACCACGGCTCCCAAGAGCCTCCGCGCGGTGCGCCACTGCTCCTAAGAGGCTGCGCGCGACCGACCACAGTTCCCAGGAGCCATCGCGTGGCCCGGGGCACGGTGGGAAGCGGGGTTTTGTCAGCTGCAAGGATCTTCTGGGTTGAGGGCACTGGCCTGGAAACTGACAGTTAAGGTTGCTGGTTGCCTGTCGTGAGTTCAGGTTACTGGGAAACATGGTTGGTAGAGCCTCAGCTTCTCAAAGATCATGTGTTGAGCTGCAGCTTGGGCAGAGTGTGACTAGGGCTCGGAAGCTGGGAGCGAACATTTCAGACGATGAATTTGGGACGCCCTGTGGCCTTTTAACGAGAATTCTCACCGGGAATAGTGGGTGAGAGAGGTCGTCCAGAGACGGAAAGGAACGTCCTGGGTTTGCTTGTAGTTTCCCTGACGAGCTATGGGAGCGGTGGGGTAGACCGGGAGGTAGACAGTGACAGGGGCGGGAGAAGGTGGCCGGCCAGGTGCCTCCTTCACAAGACATAGTTCTGCATGGACGTTATGGACTGCGGAGAGGATACAGCAAGTAAAAAGTTAAATTTTTACTGACTAAAGAATTGAGAACTTCTTTGAGGACCGACAAGAGCACAGACAGTCAAAGCCTCGGCTCTGGGAGGGAGCAGGGTTGCTTTTGAACATCCATGAGATAAATCCTCCCTGAATGCCTCGGCCTCCTTCGAATGCACTTTTTTTCCCCCTCTCTTTTTGAGACAGTGTCTTGCTATGCAGTTCAGGCTGGCCTTGAGCTCACCATGTAGCCCAGGGTGGTCTCGAACTTGTAACGCATCTCCTGCCTCAGCCTCCTAAGTGCTGGGATTACAGGCATGCACCACCACGCCCGGCTTTTGAATGTACTTTTGTAGGACGCTGGCCTCATCCTAGAGTTCCTTTGGTGGACATCTCCAGGCCTGCCCCCTCCCCCCGTAGACATGTCCTTCTATTAGAACTTTAAAAAGACAATGTCCTCATTATCTACCCCAAAGCCACACATCTGTTAGGTAAAACAGAAAGTGTAATTTCACAGAATATACTTTAGGGCCATGTAAATAATAGTGATTCATAAATGTTAATTATTACTATTAGTAACATCATTATTTGAATTCATTTAACATATATTTGTTGAGCACATTTTAAGTCTCAGGGCTGTGCTGAGTGTTGGTGACCCAAATGTGAGCACAGTGCCCTCTACTTCTTGGGACGACAATCTGGTTGGAAAAAGAAAAAAAAAAATTTTTTTTTCTGACACCTGGGCCAGAAAGCAAGTCCAAAAGTGTATAGTGCAAACTGCTCTAAAGCTCACTACTCCTGGACAGTGCCTCAGCACAGTGGCCAAGATCCCTGGGGCCCCATCTCCCAGTCACCCCTGTCCCTCCTTTCCTTTTAGAGAGCAATAGGCGCTTTTTTTATTCTTCAGAATAGAAGGAGGCACACAGCAATGCCAATGTGCTTCTCTGAGGGTGGTGCTGTGTGATCTTCCTCCTTCCCAAGGCTTTGTGTGGGTAAGGGACAGTATTCTGACTTCTGTCAGATGCTGTGACAAGCAGCACCATGTGCCTTGAAACCAGTGTTAGGTATATGGGTCCTGTTGAGTTCAAGGCCAGCTGTGGGACAGAGATAAATTTCAGACCCTGCCATGAAAGTGGTTGGTAAAGCTTAGTCATGTTTCGCTCATAAATCTACAACAATTCTCTTAAAGGAACTCAGGGAAGTAGACATATTGAATGGGAAGTGGGGCAGAGAGTAGTTAGGATTGGGCCTGATGAGCCTAAGATGAGAACCAATTTGCCTTAGACACTTACCAGTCTTCCCAGACCCTAAATGAGCCCAGTCTTTAGCCACTGCCTGCATCTTAAGGCAGTTACCTAGCAAGATGGAGAGTGTCAGCAGTGTAGAGTTGGAAACCTGCCAAAGGACTATTCTCCCTCCTCCTAGACATTTCAAAACATTAGGGGAAGGAAAGATAATTCAGTAAATGGTGTCATGACAAATGACTAGAGATGGGGGCAGGTAAAGTTAAATGTTTGCCTAACTTCTATGCCAAGGTAGCCACCAGAAAGATTAAGTATAGAATGTGAAACAAATCCAAAAGTGACCCAGAAGAACATATGGATTAGTATTTTTGCAATCTTGGCATGGGAAAGGCTTTCCTAACCTTAGTAACAAAGGTAGAAACAACAAAGAAAAAGATTAAAATCCAGCACTTCTGTGTGGCCTGAACACCAGTAAGTGAAATTAACACATGACAAGCTGGGAAAATATTTGCAACTGTCATATTTAAAGACACCATACAAATCAATAAGAAAAAAAACCCCAACATTTCAGTAGAAATGTGGCCAAGGACAGCAACATTTTAAAGAAAAGCACTCTGATTTACTATGCAGTTTTAAGTGCCAATTGAAACAAAAATTTTCCCCTAATTACTGAATGGCAAGGGGAAGTAGGAGAATGGACATTTTTATCCATGTGTAAATTGAGACAATCATTCTGATTAGACATTTGGCACCATGTATCAAAAATCTTAAATGTCTACATATCACTTCTAGAATTATTTTCCTCAGGAGAAAAAGTCAGATAATTATATCCTATGTGTGGAATGAAAGCTGTGGGGTCCAGCTCTCTGAGGTGAGTTATTGGCTTGGAAAGGGCTCTTGGATGTCTGCTCCAGAAACTTCCGTGAAATGTCCAAGCTCACAGGAAACTGAAGCCTGTACTTGCTACCATACCTCTGTACAGATCATTTAGGTCTGGAGTGGGGGTGTGAACATCCACCCTCCTGGAAAGGTTCATCAGAACAGCTCCCTTTGTGCCTCACTTCTATGTTTACTTCAGTCCTGGTCTGAAAGATAAGCTGTTTAAAATAGCCTTTAGCAACTGTGCTTAGCCCCTGCCCACAACCACTGTACTTTCACAGAACTAACCAGCCTTCCATCTCTCTTGAACATGCATCCCCCAGTGCTGGGGAGGAAGTGAGCATCCTCTCAGACTCCTCCCTGCTCAGCATCCAGGTTTGACTCACTAGGAAAAAGGGATCTGTGCTTTGGTGTAGGTCTGTGGGAAGTCTGTCAAACTCTGGGTGAGAGCCAAATGTATTATTTGCAAGGTTGGGAGGCATGCTGGCTTCTGCTTGGGCAAGTGATCCCATTCACTGAAGCTGCCTGTCTCTTTGAGTAAATATGTCTTGTGTTTGACCTCACTATCACCTAATTTGTAAATTCAGGGTCCTGAGAACTTGGACTTCTAGATCCTAGAATATGCCATGAATCTGTCTCCTTAGAGCTCCAACAATTATTCAAGCCAAAACCATTCATTTTACAAAAACTGTACTGGCTTCAGGCATTTTGTTCTTGTTACTATTTCTACCTTTTAGCTAGCTGTGTCCTTCTTCAACCTCTTGATGGGGTTGCTTATAACCCAGAAGCTGGGGGGCACAGATGACAAACTAGTGCACATCTGTGTCTCTGGCCAGGGCAACAGGCTGGCCACTTCTGTTTCTGAGGCCCTATTGCCATGTGGTGATGATCCCATTTGGTCTCACTGAATGGACTGTGGTGAAGACGTCTTGCGAATTTTTGTGGTGCTGTCGGCTCACAAACAGGAGGGGCCCTATGTTGTGCGAGTCCTCTTAGAACACACTTGTGTACAGGTGAGAGTGGTACACCAAGCCCTATGTTTCTGTCTTCTGTCTTGTAGAAAGGCCTCTGACAGGTGGCCAGAGATGAGGACATGAGTGTGATAGAAGGAGCCAGAAGCCCTACTTCCTGGATCCTCTGCTGGTGCCTCTTCCCCCACAACTGGATCTCACCGTGGCCTGTGGAGCTGGTTTCTTCACAGGACTCCCAGGTGGGCTCCATGTGGGTTTCTGAACTCATGAAATGTCAAAAATGGACTTGGAGGATCTTTAGGACAGATGGTGCATGCTTTTCATTGAAGAGTTGGTTGGTCTTCAAAGAGATTAAAGTAGTTGCTTGGGGTCGACTGTGTCCCCACAAAGTTCATGTGTCAGAAACTTAGTCCCCAAATTCATATGTTAATGGTATTTGGAAATGAGGCCTTTGGGAGGTCAGATCCAGGAGGTCATGGGGTGGGGACCTCCTTGATGGAGTTAATGGCTTTATAAGAGTGTTCACTCACTCCCTTTGTCACCATGTGATACCCCACTGTGGTTTTTTTTGTCTTTTTTTCTGGTACCGGGAATCGAACTCACAACCTTGCGCTTGCCAGGCAGGCGCTGTGCTGCTGAGCTAAATCCCCAGCCCCTCCCCACTGTGTTATGATGCATCATGTGGCCCCAGCAGAGGCTGACAGATGGTGGTGCCAGGCCCTGGGATTTCTGAGCCTCCAGGGTTGCGATCCAGATAAACTTCTGTTTTCTTATAAATTACTCAATCTCAGATATTTTGTTACAGCAACAGAAAATAGACTACAACAACAGTTATCTTAGAGAACTCTTGAATGAGCAGAGAAAGATCATTTCAGACTTCTAAATTTAATTAATTAATAATCAATTAATTTTTGAGACAGGGTCTCACCATGTAGCTCAGGCTACCCTTGAACCTGTGGTGGTCCACCTGTCTCAACCATTTAAACTTTATTTTGAAATGATTTCAGACTTACAGAAAAGTTGCAAACACGTTCAGAAAGTTTGCATATATCTTTTACTCAGCTTTGTATGACATTTACAACTCACTGAATTATAACATTATAATACAATTGAGGAAATTAATATCAGTACAATATACTATTGTAATACTTAATGGTAAACTACTGACTTCATTTGAATTTCACCAGTTTCCTCTCTCCCTTCATTTTCTGTGCGAGGATCCTATCCAGGATCCTCCATTTCATATAGTTGTAGCCACATCTCCTTAATTTCTTCCAGTCATGGCGTTTTTGCTTGTTAAAGAAGAAAATAAAGTCTGGTGGTGGTGATGATAAAGTACAAGGACGTAAAAATGATCTGCCTCCCGCTCTTCCTTCTACCTTTCTTAATCATTTTCTTTCCCAAGAAAATTTTAAATTAGCTTTATTTTCATTTGCTACCACAGAAGTGAGAAGTAAGTCATGCTTTTGTTTTAAAATAGGCAAATATAGTTATTTGTGTCAAAGGCTTTAAAGGCTTCAACTGTATCTCAGAATAGTCAAACACATTTCTTGAAATATAAAATGCACAATTGTGATAATCACACAACTAATTTTCTTCCTGTGTGGTGAAGAGGTTAGCCTGGCCTGGAAAGAGGTGAGACTTCATCTACTGGGAGGTGATGGACTGTCAGCCCTGGTCAGGATAGTACTCACTGCCTGGGGACCTTGAGCCACCCTGGATAATATAAAAACGTGATTTGATCTGGGCACCTTCACACTGGGACCTGGACACCCCAGGTAGTAACAGCAGGATGTGGGGTGTGTGCTTTGAGTTGTATGATCAGTTGTCCTCCATAGGGCCTGAACCCAGACAGTGGGGTTAGCCCCATCAATGGTCATGTACACCTGCAGACACTGTACTCTGTGCGTATTGTCACCTAGCAGTGCTGGGAAAGCCATGCTTTCCTGGCCCTGGAGAGGACAGAGGATGCTGCAGGTGGTGTTCTCCTGTGAGCTTCCTCCCAGGGCTGATCTTCCTCTAGCTTTTCACAGCAATAAACCATAGCCATGAGTACAGCAGCTTTCTGGGAGGTCCATGAGTCTTTCTAGTTGATCATCAAGCCCTACATTTTCAGGTGGCCCCAGAAGTAAGGGCAGGGCTGCAGACTGTTCTCTTAATTTTGTGGTTGATCTCTTGCAATGACTTTTTTTTTGTTTTTTGTTTGTTACTGGGAGTTAAACTCAGGACCTCACTCTTGCCAGGCAGGTGCTGTGCCCCTGAACTATATGTCCAGCCCTACAATGACTTTAAAACTTGAACCTGAAGCCAAGATTATAGGAGTCTTTCTACTTGAAGATAAAAGTCATTACTTTCCCAAGACAAATAAGAGATTGTTGCTAGTGAAGTGTCATTTTATACTTTGCAAGTGCATTTCAAATATACTCAGTATGGGGATGCTGGGGATTTAGCTCAGTGGCACAGTGCCTGCCTGGCAAGATTGTGAGTTCCATTCCCGGTACCAGAAAAAAAACAAAAACAAAAACAAAAACAAAAACAAAAACAACGAAAAAGCCCCCAAAAAACAAAAAACCAAATATACTCAGTATGTTTCATTTATAAGAAAAGAATGGAACAGAATGATTAGAAGTTGCCACACATACACTGAGCATTGGTAGCAAGCATTGGATTTCTTCTACATTAATGGAGATCAACCCATGGTAGAACCACTGCCTTGGAGACCCTGGCGGTGATCCTGTTGGTCTGTATTGGCAGGTGCCACTGTGTGGGTAACTGTCCCACAAAGGCCCGTGTGCAAAAGGCATGGTTCGCCAGGGAGCAGTTTGGCAGGTGCTGTGGACTGGCACTATGTGGGACTGGTGTGAAGTCATTAAGTCATTAGGGGTGCCACCCTTGGAGGGGACAATGGGACTTGGTCTCTCAGTCTCTCTATTTCCTGTCTTCAAATGTGAGTGATGTCTTTCCTCTGTGTACCACCATTGTTGTCTGCTGTCCTCACTGGGGGCTGGAAGTCATGGGCTACTTGATCTTGGTCTTGAGTTTCAGAACTGTGGGCCTGGATAGCCTACCTTTACCTTGTGAGCAGCTTGTGGGGGCCATGTGGCCACAGTGGTAGATCCCACAACTACAGGTCATACGCTCATCAGTCTCAGGGCTTTAAGTCCCGAGTTCTTCAAGACTAAAGAACAGCTTTATTGGCTTTTTTTTCTTCAGAGAATTCCTCTTAGTGCCACATACATTTATATAATTCCAGTGGAGGTGGAGGAGCATAACGTTTGGCAACAGAGGCGTCATTCCACAGGCCCAGCTCCATGGGTCTGCTAGGAATTTGGTACAAGGCACAGGAAATAAATGATGCTGTCTAGGTATTCGAGCTGGCCTTGATAGTTGTCAAGTTGCTGGGAAAAGAAGTTCTCATGTTTACTAAAGAGAGAAAAGGTAAATTGCAGGGTGAAGTCTTGTGTGATACTTTTTGATATCAAACACTACTGCTTTTAGGGACCCCCAAAATGGGCTTTCACTGTGAGCACAATTTGTGCTCTGGCTCTTTTGCAACATGTTTTTTCATGTAATAAATTTACGACAAAAATGTCATTGTGCACATGGGATTGTGTCACTTTATATGTATTCATCTTTGGTATTTTTGAAATCCTTCCAACCATTAAAAAGTACAGCTGTCTTTTAGTATTTCAGGTGTTGGTAAATGTTTAGCTAAGATTTTTCCAGTATTTGATTTTGGACTTGCCAGTTTATCAGCTAGGATGCTTTTAAAATACAGTTTATTGGGCTGGGAATTGAAGTGAATTGTTTTTAACTCATAACATGAACTGCCAGAAAGTACTTTCTTAAATTTTTTTGAATAACATTTTCATAAATGCTAACAGTGATAAAGACTTAAAATAATTGGAAAATTGTGTTAGTTTTCTGTTGCTGTGACAGAATATCAGAGGTAAACAACTTATTTTGGCTCACAGTTTTAGAGGATTCAGTCCGTGGAGTACTGGGCATGGCTCTCAGGCCTGTGGCGGTACAGAACGTTACAGCAGCAAGGAAGTAAGGTGAGAAGAAGGAGCTAGGGTCCCTGCATCCCTGTCAAAGACACATCCACCATGACCTAACTTCTCTCCAACCCTCACTTCCTAAAAGTCCCAGAACCTCCCACTTAGGACACAGACTGGGGACTGAGCATTCAACATGCGGCCTTTGGGGTCAAGGTCTAAACCATAACAAAAATATTCTACACTTAAAAATGCTTACTAAAAAAATTAGAGTCACAGTATTTTCTCTAATCTTTCTACAACTAAAGGAAAAGCTGCTATTCCAGTGTCAGACCCTCATTCCTGTTCACATGCCTGGAGATCTCCTCAGGCAGGCACTGTCAGAGCACAGGCTCCAGAAACCTTGGTGAAGTGGCACCATCATGCATCCACTCCCAAATATGCTGAGTCACAGAGCCCCCAGTGCTCCTTTGGGATGTTATGGCGTCTCATGCAGGAGGTGCTGTTGATGCCCTCTCGTGTCACCTGAGCTGGTCAGTCTCAAGCATTGCTGGACAGTTCCCTCTACGTGAAAGGAGTCCGACCTCAACCCCTGAGTTCTTTGTTTGAGTGCTCTGGTCCCTGAATTTTCCTGACTCTCTTAGTGTGGTCAGTCTCAGGGGCAGGGGTAGAATGCTTTTATGAATCACCTTCAACCAAGATGAGCAGGGCTCATAGAGTATGATTCCCATGAGCCATTCTCCCTGTAGATGTTTCATCTGTGCTCGGCATCCCCTCGGGGCCTCAGAGGAGTCTCACCCACTCTGGTGCCTGGGAATTTACACACTGCCAGCTGGGGCCCTCCTTTCCCTGACTGAGCCTCCCCAGGACTCATCTTGGGGTCCTCCCAACAGAAGATGCCAGGAACCAGGAAACACCACGGCCTGCCACTGAGGTTACAGAGTTGGTGAGTTCCCAGCTATGCAAGGGATGGGGCATTAAAGGAAATCTCTGAGCCCCAACAGGGAGGGATTTCTAAATCTGACAGGTCAAGGATACAGATGCAGTGCATGCGCGTGCACGCGCGCGCGCACACACACACACGTACATGGGTGACAGAAAGTGTCACAGAGAAGTGAGTGTTTCTGATCACAGACTAAATTCTACAGAATAGGAAGGGCTGGGAAAGTGGACCTCAAGAAAGACAAAATTATTACAGCCTTACGGTTCCACAAGGGCAAATAAAGCTCTGTGTGTTTATTGCCATTTTCAGATACATCTTCAGTGTGATACTGTTTCAGGACAACTGTGGCCTGATTTGCTGCTTGGCCCTGGTAAAGACAGAAGCACACAGGAGCAGACAGGAGGGAGCAGGCGGCCTGATGGAGAGAGCATCCCAGGCCCGTGGTTTACAGGACTGCTTCCAAGAGTTATTACAGGCTAAGTGATAGAGCCAATGCTTATTGGCTGGAGGGTAGATCCATAAATCTGAGGGGCAGAACAGCGAATTGAGACAGGCCCACAGTAAACCCTGTTTTGGTTTTCAACAGCTGCTGAGCCCTCCCGACAGGGAAGGTCTTAATAAGTGGTGCTAGTGGGTCTGCATGTAGACACACTTGGAGTCAGGGCGCTGGCAGGTGCTGCACAAGGATGGCCGCGTGGGAAGGGAAGCCCGTCCCGCGGCAGAGTCGGGAACAGGGTGTAGAGGCCTTGGATTTGCTCCATGGCCTCAGGTTTATTTACTGACTCGCTCCAAGCACAGACTGCAGCGTGATAGAGACAGCGTTGTCTCCCTTTGCGGTGACGTGTGTCCCCGGGGGAGCCACCTGGGTGGGGACCTGGGTGGGGACCTGCGTGGTGCGGGGCGGAGCTGCCCACTCAGTCCACAGGGCAGGGGTCGAAGGTGGCGACCTCCCCTCGCCCTGACTCCTCGTGCTCCACATTCTGAGAAGTTAGCCGGCGCCTCCTACAGCTCTGGTGAATTAGTTAATGTCCCTTCTACAGTTCCCTGACCCGGGGCCACAGCTAGGATAACCGGGGCCCTAACCGGCGTCGTCGCAGTGATTCTCCAGCAGGTGGCGCCTGCGCACCGCCAAGTGGTGCTGTCCTCTGTGCAGTCTGGCTCGGAGCCTCCGGGGAGCAGGGACCAGGTCCCCTCCACCCAGGACCTGCTCGCCTTCGCACCCTGCTCAATAGAGGTCCCCGTCTCTGTGCTCACTGTGACTCCCCTGGAGACAATCTGAGAGTCCACTAACTTCCGGACTAAAGCCCAACGTGAGTTAATCCCAACCCGAATATTCCACGATGTATACACTTATGTGCACTGTTACACAGCGCTCCCACGGATGTACAGTTTTTATTTGTTAATTACACAGTCCCAGCTGACACCACACAATGTGCACCGACCTCCTGGACCACACCTAGAAAAGCACTCACTGTGCCCGAAGA